TTCATCTCCAATGTGGCAGCCTACGTATGTGCACCGTTTTCATAGCGCTTCCACCCCGATACAGTGTCTGATGTTCGCCGTGTCTGATGTTCGCCGTGTCTAGATCGCCATAGACAGCATAGTAGATCTACACATCACAGAAAACTGGAGCAACCAAACCTAGACTAGCTTTACGCCAATGCAGGATGTGCACTGTCACTACATGTAGTGTTAGGCGTAGTACCTTCCTAGGCAATGCATGTGTGTGCAACTGTCAGGGGTAGTGTCACTCTAGTCTAGGCAATGCATGGTGTGTGCAACTGTCAGGGGTAGTACCACTCTAGTCTAGGCAATGCATGGTGTGTGCAACTGTCAGAGGATGAGGGGGGGGGGGGGGGGGGGGTAGTATCAACCTAGGCAATGCATGGTGTGTGCAACTGTCAGAGGAGGGTGGGGGGGGGGGGGGGGGGTAGTATCAACCTAGGCAATGCATGGTGGGTTTTATTCACTGTATTCAGACGTACCACTATCGCACCCCACCAGAGCGATGCAGACCACTGCGTATGACTGTTTCCAAGCTGCAACTCCACTTTAGCGCCGAGCCCGATCGTGAACGTAGCTAGCACGGACACCACTACGGAAAACACCAGCAACACGTTGAAGAATGGGCTGGCCTCGCGGCCCATCCTGGGTGGAGTGTGGCTGCCAGATCTCTTTCGCATGCTGGATTTTCTCTCCGGATCCAGCGAGATAACTATCAGGCTGCTCTCGGGACTATCCCCATCGCTGTCTGTAGCGTCGCCACGTGCGACCAGTGGCTGCCCGCCTGCTGGAGGAGTTTGTCTTTCAAAGTCATCCTCCTCCTCCTCGTCATCACTGGGATTAACACTCTCCACTAACAAGTGTGGGCCAGGATCCATGCCACCACCGGCGTCCAAAGTCAGCTGCTCCATCGTCTACTATCCGGCGTTGCAAGATGCAGGAGAAAAATAATAATGTTGGCGAGCAGCGAGCCGGGCGGAATCGGCGTTTATCGACTAGATAGCTAGATAGCTATGTGCTAGTGTCTGGAGTGCATGGCCGTACTAGCAGTGCCCGTACTAGCAGTAGCGAGCAGACCTTTCTTTCCTTCTGACTGTAGTACTACGACTTCCCCAGTCATTCGATTTCCGGACGTTATGCCAAGAACAGGTGTTTTGATTTATCGACAATAAATTTTCAGCTCTTCTCATCCTTGGCCTTCTGCATGATCTGTGCTTCTTTCAGCCAGCATTATTTTTTTCTGCTGTCAAGTGTCATGTCACGGCTCCACACTGTACTGACCAGCGCTAGCGCTGCCCTGCATGCAGCAGCTGACTGGATCAGCACAGTCATGTGCTGAGCACTACTACTATCTCATGTGAATGCTGCTGTCTGATGATCGCTCGATGCGTGAAACTTTAAGTTACAGCTAACACAGCCTTTCGCCTCTGTTGTGTGTGTATACATGTCTACAATCGTCATGATTATTGCATCATCATCTCGTGGCAAGCCAATGACTCGAATGAGAGAGGGGTGATACCAAGAGTAGATAAACAAGAGTGTGCAACTCCGGATGGATTGGCCCACGGCGGAATTTTTTGTTGACGTAATCTTTTCGACGACGCACGCGCTGCGAGCCTTTTGGAGAGTTTTCCCTCGTGCACTTGGCTGGGCTTTACACTACAAGGTCGGTGCCCAGCACGTGCTCTCACACTGCTCTGCGGCAAAGCCGCGTTTCTCTGAAAAAAGGTGACGTAAACAAAAAATTCCGCCGTGGGCGCGGGGTATCTGCAGATTGTGCAGGAGAGATCCGGAGTTGCACACTCTTGTTTATCTACTCTTGGTGATACTGATAGCCAACCACGGCCAAATCAACAAAAGAAAAGTAGTAGACTTTAATACATGTATAAGAAAGAAGAAAGAAAGAAGATAATTCATAAGAAAAAGATAACTCAAGACAAGGGATCCGATACGCAAATACAATCGGGCCGACACAGCGGCCCGATTGTATTTTAGTAGTGTAGATCTACCGTGGACCGCGTACCGCGCCGGTGTACAGTACTGCACTACAAGTAAAACGTAATAACGTTAAACTGGCAAGTACAAGTCATGTATTATTTAATAGATCGACGTGAAAAAACAACCATGATACATGTAGTGCAGTGAAGCCAGTGCACTAGTGATAGACGATGTCATGAATCTACTACTACTACATACACAGACAGTGTACTAGTGTATGTACAGTGTCAACTAGTCAGTGCTGGCAACTGAAATCCGACCCCCGAGTGGTGCATTCACGTCACTTCGCAAAGACCCAACACAGAAAACTACGAAAATAATAGATACAGAGAACTCAAACAGTCAAAGCTCTAGTCAATGTGAACGCACAGTACAGTACAGCTGCCAGCACTGTGTAGCATGCACTACAGTCTACACTGTACATGTGTAGCTAGCTAGCTCAAGTAGCTGGATTGCTCATGTCATGTACATGTAGTTTCTTTTTTTTTCTTCATTTTTTTGATGTGCAATAACATGACATTGTTATTTATAAAGACAGGACAAGTGAATACTTAGTAATTAGTCAGTCCATTGTTCATGATGATCTCCGACGGTTACCTTGGTTACGTCGGCAAGCGAGCCTCCGCCACTAGCACTGCCAAAGCAGCGTGGGCTCCGCAGGAGGGTGCAAATTTCAAACTAAAATTTAAACGCCTACAACCGCGAATGCACATGATACAGGATTTCAGAAGGCTGAAGGAAATCCTGCATCTAACAAATGCCATAACCAGATAACATGAGAGAACAAAATGTACATGTAGTGCAGTGTCCCACGTCACGTCGCAGGCACAGACTGTGTGGAGTACTCCCGAGTAGCGCATCGCATGCCCCCCCCCCCCCCCCCCTGGCATGGGCCTTTGTAGGACGACCCCAATACACATGATGATCGTACAATGACTATGTAGTCGACGCCACATAACGAACTCGCCTACTGTAACTAGTGCCGGTTTCACTCTCTTTTCTCTAATACTCTTAGTTTACTCCCATTGATTTTCGCTATACCTAAGCAGTCAAATATTCCTGCATATTTCAATCCTTAGCGCTATATTGACTGCTTATGGGTTGCGCAGTTGAACGGCGTCTAGTGCAGTAGTGGAGCATGGTCATTGGTCACTGTATGAGTAGGTGATGGTGCAACGACTGTAGTCGTGAAAGTCCAAACACCCTGCCTTTTGACGCCGGGCAGTATTTTTTTGCGCAACAGATACAGATTGGGAATCTCATTAATTTTTACTTCCCATCTCTATGGTCATGTGATACTACTAATACGGTATTATAGTCATGGGATGATGGGATCCATCTCTCACTTGACCATACAGGGAAGCTATGAAAGTATGTGTTTGTTCCAGCTTCCCTCCCCCCCCCCCCCCCATTCCTGCATCAATGGGTCACATGATCACCAACGGGGTCACATGATCATTCATGGATCACATGATCATCAACGGGGTCACATGATCACGGTGGGCCGCGTCGTTGGCTCTACTGTCCACACCACATGCACACCTTCAACCCACATTCAGCAGCATGAGAAATATTGTGGAA